AAATAATGCGAGAGACATTTAAACATGGGGAATGTTATATTTATTGTTTACAAACTCTTACAAACTACACTAAGTATGATCGGTTATACTTCAATCAATAGTGTATGACTGATCATACTTAGTGTAATTTGTAAAAAAAAATTTGTAAACGAATATTTCTCCTTTAAACATATCTTGGACTGCAAGCATGGGATTATTTTTTTACTTTTTTTCAAGATTGCTTTCTATTCCACACCATAAAAAACAACCCACCATATGCTTCAAGAAGGATTTATTAATAAAGCAAGTTTGTTAAAAGTCTTATGCCAATAATGTCAAATCAGCGTGCACAAAAGACTGAGGATTCAGTACTCCCACGCTTTGATTAGGTATAAATTTGAAAGAGGATAAAGTTTTTTAATTAGTATATTACTAATACATGTAAAATATAATCAGTAACTACAATATTTTTTTCTGGCAACTTGAAGTGGAGGACACACGAGTTGTATATCGAGATTCAATTTTGTTGTCTCAAAATGCATAATAATGTTTTTGCGAAGTTTATTGTGCTAAATTTTAGTCAAATGAAGTCTAGAATTCTTGGTTGAAAGTTGAAACTTGAATCATTATGTTGCGGCATCCAAATTATTATCTGCAAATGTTTGTCTACATGACTATTCAAAAGAGAGTAACTGTGTTGAATAAAGCATAAATACAAGAGAGAAAACCTGAATTGACGAAATTTGGTAGGACTGATTTCACTTTTCACCCATAATACCTGAGTCCACTGAACTAATTGTCTGGTCAAAAACCATCTGGAAGAAAAAAAAAAGCGATTTATTTAGGTACATTGCAGTTACTGACTATATTAGTTAGGAACTTTGATAATAAATGTTATGAAAAGAAAAGTTGGAAGTTTCCTATTGTAGTATTTTCTCAAACTCCCTTAACATAAAATATGAAATGCATTTTTTTGTCTCTCTCATTCTCTTACTTAAGGAATAAAACATTTTTATTGCTGCAAAATTACTCATCTCTTACGGTAAAGATAAGATTATGGGTCCCACTATTTTAAAATAAAATTAAAAAATAAAATGTCTCCTGGCACAATTTTCAAACTCTCACCTACAATCAATTCTCTCCTCATGCAGCAGAAGAAGTGATTGATTTGCCCTGTATTTAATTATGAGTTTTATAATTCTCAAATTATAGAATTGAAATCTTATGTTGTAGAGAAAAAAAACATGTGGGATCTATATGTTAAAAAAATTATGTGTATGACCCACATCAGCATGAAAATTGAAGGACGTGTAGAAAGATTTCAATTCTCAATGTTGAATGATAATTATAAAACCCTTTAATTATTCATTTGTTACATCCTGGCGAATAAACAAAGTTGTTTCCCTTTTTTCATGTTTTCCTCCTTTGTTGGGTCAGAGTGAGTCAGACAGATGTTCAATGTTGAATCCTGGAGTGGGGATTTGCGGTATCTTCGCTTTTAATTAAAGCCCAAGCACATGATGTGTTCAATGTTATTTTGTGATGACCCTAGATTCTAATGTTTTTGGGCCTTGTCTTCCTTAAAAGAATTTCCTAATGCACCCACTGGGCTGCAGTTTCCTGAGCTTCAACTCAAGCCTACTAACAGATTTTTCAGACCAAAAGCGGTCCATGGCATATAATACTTTTAGGCGCACTACATATAATTAATAAACCCGAGTTCTGCGCTGACAAATAAACAAATTTTGATTTTAAATGTTGCATATCCAATAAGCTAAGTAAACATACATTAAAAGAGACCGGTGGTGGCACAAAAAGGCTGTAAAAGCAGTTTTTTAATATATATTTTTTGAGTTAACTCAATCCTAATGATCTCTTTGAAGCAAGTTGATTCCCTTAATATTTTCATAAGCTTTAACTATCTGAGCTGGTTATAGGCTAATCAGGAGTGCAGGACGCAATAAAAATAGTTTTTTTTAGTTAATCTAACCCTAATTATTTATTTGAGGCAAGTTGGTTCCTCTGATATTCTCATAAGCTTCGACTATCTGAGTTAGTTATGGACTAATCCGGAGTGCAGAGCGTAATAAAAGCAGTTCTTTATTTATTTTTTATTTTTTTGGAGTTACTTCAACTTTAATTACCTCTTTGAATTAGTTAGCTTTTTCGATATCTTCACAAGTTTCGCCAACTATGAGGTTAATCCGAAATGCGGGACAGGTCAGACAATAAAGATATTTAAACTCGTTCGAGAGATATTAGGTGAATATCGAATTGAGACTTTTTTTTTTCTAGGTAGTTAGCTTCCTTATCAACAAGTGAGGTACGTTGAGATAAAGCAGTTATTTGAATAGCTTAATAGTGACGTCAAAGGAAAAGTAAAAAAGAGGACTACTTGGAAAGAAAGGAGCAAGAAATTCCAAACATGTAGCCGTTACTGAAGGGAAAGCAAATCAAGTCACTTGAGTTAGGGAGTGGGATTAATTAGTGGTTACTGAAGGCAAAGAAAGATAGAGATGAGGTGGCAACCGAAATTTAAAAGACACAGAGTGAGAAAGTGAGAATTTTAAAAGTTTGCATGGGTGATAGAGTGAAAATAGTAATTAAAAGTATAATTTCATTTACCTAATTCAGAAAATTCGAAATCGTTGAGCCGGTGTGCACTTAAGATGTTGAATAAAGTTGAAATTTCTACTTACGTAGAAATATTTATAAGATTCAAATGTTGGGGCAAGAGAGTTTACAACTTATTTTTCATATTTAATAGGCTTTTTTACTAAGTAACAAATTAAAGAATGATCAAGCTACTAAGTTTAACCTTTCCTAGTTCTTTGTGTCATTTTACTTCTATCCAAATATCACGAATGTGAATATACCATAAATACTAATTTTTTTGAAAATAATATAAAACAACGTTATTTTAATTAAAAAAAAAAAGATTATATAAAGAGCCTATTAAATGAAAATACTAATTCAAATGTTTACCAAAAAAAATATGTCAATCCCATCATATAATTTAAATTAACCCGACCATGATTAGTTCGTATTGATAATAAAAATAAAGAGTCGTCTACCAAAATAAAAATAAAGAGTCAACCAAACCAATCTCAATTGAATTATATAATCAATTCAAACTTTATTTTTAGAAAAAATTGTTCCAACTTGCAACTTAGACGGAGGAGAAATAAGATTCTAAACTTCACACATATCAGCATTCAACTTGCTGCATTGCCACATCACTAAAGGCTGTGAAGTAAACGAAAAAATTGTCCCAACTTGCAACTTAGACGGAGGAGAAATAAGATTCTAAACTTCACACATATCAGTATTCAACTTGCTGCATTGCCACATCACTAAAGGCTGTGAAGTAAATGATCAACGCGGAAGATTAGCTTTATCCTTTCTTCACGGAATCCTTTTACCAAAGTTGTAAGTTTTTGATACCGTTCACATTCCTTTTTTAGGATAATCAATAGATGGAATGAGATTTTGAGGTAAAGTGGTATTACAAAAAAAAAAAAAAAAGATTTTGAGGTAAAGTGAAGAATCTAAAAGGGCAAAATTTGAGAGCAAAGAGTGGCTAAGAGAGAGTGAGAATATTAAACTATACGAGGATTTCTTTCTTGGATTTTGCTCTTTTACTAAAGCTCAATTAAGCTTATTATATAAGAAGAGCTCAAGAAAACTAGAGTCAATTAAACTGAGCTGAGATTTCTTAAAATTCATATATATTCTATACTAAAAATCATGAGCCGAGAGGGTCTCCACTTTGAGATGGTAGAGACTGAGATAAAATCATCTCCTTGGTATTGAGAGAGTGCCCACACATCAGCCTTTCTCCCTTGCCCATAGTTTAAAAGATCTGCCACTAGCCAAACTCAAAGAATTTTTCGTGCTACGGCACTGAATAGAGCGATTTGTGAAGGAGAATTATTCATCGGAAGATTTTGCACGAGATTTGTGCATCAAGAGGTAAATAAGAAAAACGATGATAATCCATTGCATCCCAAACCGCAATAGTCTAAACATTTCCGTAAATCCAATTAATTGCACCTACATCCTCATGGTCACTACTCATAGCCAAACACAAGGGATTTCACATAGGTAGTAATCCACATTTTCTCTAGCACTATGAAAATAAAATTAGTTCTAAAATGTACTTTAATTACTTCGATTATCCTTCCGCAGATCCCCCAAGTGACTACTTTAATTTGTCTAAATTTTTAGAATAAGGATGGAATTTGAGTAATCAGTAAAATAAAGGTAAAAATGATCATAACAAGGCCCTTCGTGACTCCATAAATTTTATTGGGGGCACAATGACGTGAGAAAATAATATTTCACCAACTTTCAATTGTCCCATCTACTTTGGTACTATTTTTGTTCAATAAAAAAATTCTCCCATTAATGATTTAAATCTCTCTCTAAAATGATATTGGAGAAGATCGAATACATACTATTACCCTCACTTCTTCAATTTTTTGAGACTAACTGAGCTACCATCATTTAATACTTAAATTCATATTTCGATCTGCTACAATATGCACTACGAAAGAATAAATGAAATATGCGGATTTGAATGTCTTGAATTGCAGTTACCTAAATGTGGAATGAAAAGTAGGCAAATCCCACAATTTTTTAAAACGTGAAATTTACATGTTCTATTCATTTTTCTCTCTCGTGTAGCTGATTCAATCCAAAATCCACTAACTTGTATTTTTTCTCTTTAGCTAGAATTATGGAGGATTCTAACTGCGATTGAAAGCCAAGAAACTTCCCCTATCGTCACAACAACAAAAATAAAATCTATAAATCTTACAATTTAATATTAGGGAGATTAGTTTTTTTTTTTTTTTTTTAATCCCCTTCGCATGAATGAACTATGATGTGAATCTTACCAATTTAAATAGTGAGACTTATTTTTCTTTTCTTACCAATAAAATAACACGACACGCGAATGACGACAATGGATAATCGAAATATAGAATCAAATACCATCACACGCTCACTGTTTTGCAATAACTTGTATTTGATATATTCGAAGGCACTTTAATTACATTTGAACTACAAAACAAGTAGCCAAGACACACAAGTTGAAGATCCCATGGTCATGCAAGGAATAAAAAAAACACCAGCATACCAAGAGAACCATATATAACAACTATGACTCACCGATCTAGGACACTAACCTGACTCAGCAAAACAACTGCAACTGTTCAAAAATTTCATTGCAGCTGCTGCTCCCAACACACATCAAAAACCAAACCTAAATTACAACATAAAAACAAACCCAGATACGCAACCTAAAACACAGTAAATCTAAACCATTTAACATAATAAAGTGAATTATTCATGACTCAGATAGCTTCCCAATCAATCTCCACCGAAGGATACTTCTTCAAGTCCAATCCAAGATTTTCCTCTTCATTAAAACCCGAGAAATCCAAGAAAGTAATATCGGATTCAGGGGAAGACGAACCAGCAGATGATTCATCGGACAAAATCGAAGATGTTGGGTTCTCGACCTTAAAATCCTCGAACTCTGGACAACCATATTCGGTGTTGGACTGTGCCATATCAAACTCCACCTTAGGCTTTGTATCCACAACAGAACAGGGATTTTTTTCTGTTTTCCCCTGCGAATTGATGACCAAGCTTTGACAAATAGCTTGGAGCTTCGCATCCACTGAAGAAGGGAGAGGCTTGTAGTCCCCAAAATCACCATAGACATGAGCTCCATGGTGGCGTAGATGAGGAAAATTAAGCCTAGCATGCTCACCCCTTAGTTTAAAAGCTGCGTTATCATATGCCAAAGCTGCTTCTTCAGCGGTTTCAAATGTGCCAAGCCAGAGACGGGTACGGTTCTTTGGGAGTCTTATCTCAGCGACCCACTTTCCCCAATGCCTCTGTCTCACCCCACGGTAAAGCTTTGTTGGTTTTGTAGGAACACCTACGTGCTTCATAGGGACAGGTTTTGGGCTAAGAAAGTTGAGGGCGTGTTGTTTTTGGAGGGAAGCTACAGCCATGTTAGATATATGGTGTTGTTGTTGTTGTTGTTGAGTATGGATTTGAGCTTGAATCTGAAGAATTTGAGATGGGGTGAGATGGTTCAGTTTGATTGAACTGGCTTGATTTGAGAACTCGTGGGAAAACATTTGGGTGCTTGATGGTGTTAAGGGAAAGTTAGGATATAAATTGGGGAAAGAAGAAGAAAGTGAAGGGTAAGAGGAACAAGTGGAAGGAGTAGATGATGAAGAAATTAGAGAAAAGGAGGTTAAGGAAGTGCTAGATGAATCACTTTTCATAAAAGGCTCAAGTGCTTTCATCAGCTCTTCACTACACGGGTCTAGGAAACTACTACTATTATTATTATTATTATTATAGATATCTATAGCTGCTGCCATGCTTTACAAGACAAGAAAGAAGTGAACAAATCCAAGAGAAAAACAGGAACAAAAAAAAATGAACTAAACTATATACGTATATGAAGAAAAACTAGACCTGTCTCGATTCCAAAACAAGAGAACAGGAGGGTTTTTTTTTTTTTTTTAAGAAGAAAAACTCAAATTTTTGCCAAATTCAAATTGAGAAATATGTACCTGAATCGCCCTTCTAGTCTTTGCAAAGAGAGAAAATTTTCTTATCTCACTTTTTCTTTTTTGTGTGGCCTCACTTTGGTAGCTCCACTCTTGCATTTTCATGGGGACCCTTTTGTTGGTTTATATATACTCTTGTTGCTGTTGCACACGGGTTTCAGTGGGTACATAACATGCTCTAATCACGTTCTTTTCTTCTTTAATTGATAATTAATTACTTGCCTCGTCAACTTCAATAATACCTTTATTCGATTATGGTTATCCTTTTAAAAACGGACACGTATACTATGCCCTCACATGATGACCGGCACATTTCACCTCCACCTGATATTGTTTGTACACGTGTTGTTATTTAATTGGGTCAAGCTTAGATGAATTATATTTTATATGTGGCCCTCGAAATGTCAACTTTTGGTATTTATTGTGTTTCTTGTCCTTTCCGTTTTCTCATGGAATTGGCCCTCCCCCTCGATCTGCACAACAACGTTATCAAAACGTTGTCTTGTATGGAATTAAGAAAAAAAAAAAAAAAATTGTCTAGAAAGCAATCGCGTTATTAATTATCTGATTTGTTTTTAGGAGTTATTTTTTCTTATGTTATTGGAGACAAAATTATCTTCCACATATATAATTTTAAGTGGATCCCGCACGATAAATAAAAAGAAGAAAAAAAAAAATTGATGGCTCAAATTTTGAAGGATTTATAACATGAGATAAACTTTCTCCAGTAGCATAAAAAAATATTACCGTTGTTTTTAAATAATGAAAAATATTATATTTATAAATTTTTGGAAATAGATTTAACTAGAAATATAGTTTCAAAAATAGTCATATAAAAATTTATAAATAAAACATGGGTTCGCTTTTTCTGCAGTTACTGCAGATAAGTTATCTGTTGTAAGCTCAATACGACGTCGTTTTGAGGCAGAAATTATGGTGTTTTTGTAATTTTAATTTATTTTAGGGTTATTATAATCTTTATAATTATAATTTTCTAATCTTTGAATCCCAAAACCACTTTGTTTTGAAAATAAATACAAATAACTTATCTGCATTAACTGCAGAAATATTTTTTCTGATAAAACATTTGTAAGTATAATACGAGGACAATGCTAGTCTTATGTAATAGGAAATTTTTTTTATCTTATGTCCATTCATCGATATTTGTGTCATTTCTTTTTTTATTTAATTTTTTTTTACTAGGCCCCACTTTAAATTAAGTGTGCAGGAGACAACAAAATTTTGCTGTCACATGAGACTACAATTACCCATAATATAACCCTTATGGGGCGTTTGGTAGAGGAAAAAAAAATTTTGCCCGAAAATTTCAATTTTCAAAAATATAAATTTTACATTCAGTATACGATAATATCTGAAAATTAAAAATTTAAAAAAATTTAATTTTCCAAAAATCTCTAAAAATTCCACGTACCACACGGGCCTTAAACAATTAAGCTTGCAAATAACAAACTAAGCCCGAGGGTAAGTTCAAATTTTTTTTATTAAGAAATAAAGTTTCCCAAAAAAAAAAAAGAATATTGTGGCACAAACATCTAGGACTGTAGGTTCACGCACTGTCACAGGAATCTATAGGTATAAATCAGAATGCAATGTTTTTGGACGAAATCATATATATTATCATATTATGACTTACAAGTTTCGTACAAAAAAAAAATTGTTATATTATCGTACAGAGGTTTATTTTGTTTTGCAAAATACAAATTATTTAAAAGTCCTAATACTACCTTATAATTAAGAGAATGTTAAAAACTACAAAAAAAAAAAATTAATAGAATATAAATATGGTTGTTAAATGAAATAAAGTGATAGACACTACTTACTCATTTAAATTTTTTTAAAAAAGCCACATCTTAGGGAGAAAATATTTGACTCTACAATATTTTTCTATTATCACTAATGAATTTATCCTTTAAATTTTTTGAAAATAATAAAGCTGCCTGCACCAATTTATTTGGGTTGTGTTAACAATTTTTTTTTTACACGTAAATTGCTTAATTTTATGAGAATTGTTTTTCTCATATAACAAAAGGTAAAACTTCTCTCCTACACTTATATATAAAGATATGTGACTCATTTATATTTTTTCTCTCTCCTATATTCTCTTTCATCTCTCCTCTATATGTGTCTATGGGAGATAAGATTTACTCTATGTCACATAAGAAAACAATCTCCCTAACTTTATATCATTTATGTAAGTTATAATTAAGTTTGATATAATATATACCGTAATAACACTAAGGACAAAAGGAGTTGTCAGTAAAACACTTTGTTATTGCCATTCATGATTGAATAGGTTAAGGATAGCTATGGCCAGTTAGATGACATTGTTTATTTGTTAACTAATTAAGATAGTTGATGAGACTTAGGTCATTTTTATTATTTTATATTTTTTTCTAGTCTTGGTCAAGAAACAATCCGTTGTATTGTTATTTTTTATTAAAATATCGAAACATGGTTGGCTTACGGTGAATTTTAGGTGGGCCCATAAAATGGTACTGATGAGAGTCATGAGACAGTGGAGAGGGACAAGTATCGTCTAAGACTCAAATGCGGCGCCACAATGAGTTGTACGGAAGAGTGATCATTTTACCATACTTGGCAAAAAAAAAAATTACCAGACTGTCACGCAAACAGTAAATTTTGTCAAAATGCCACGCTGCATCCTTAGCCGTCGTTGAAGAAGTCTGAAAATAATTAAGAGTTAAGATAAGATAATGCGAATTAGTTATATTTTCAGACTTTTTCAACGACGACTAAGGGTGCAGCGTGGCATTTTGGCAAAATCTACTGTTGGCGTGGCAGTCTGGTAATTTTTTTTGCTAAGTGTGGCAAAATGGTCACTCTTCCTAATTGTACCAAACTCATGGTTCGGGTTCACCAAAAATATTTTCAACGTATACCAAGTTGTTAAATGATATTTAATATTTTATAAAAGTATTAAGGTCAATAAATATATATATATATATATATATATATATATATATGGGTTTATCATCTATCATTTAACATGACCACAAAAAATTTCCTACACTCACAACATTTTGTGGGGCCCGCAGCAAAAAAAAAAAAAAAAATGGCACGCAAAACGAATCGCTATAACATAACACAATCACTTTTCCTACAACATAACTCTTATAAAACCTTATATATATATATATATATATATATATATATATATATACATACGGGACATGATATACTTACTATCAATTAAGTTTATCATTTTTTATTATCAAATTTTAATTGTTAATTTTTGTCAATCTAACTGTTATAATTATTAAAAATTAAAAATTAATTAATAAGTATTATCTAATAAATTATAACCATCAAATTAACAAAAATAGAAGTGATAATTATTTTTTTCAAAAATAGAAGTAGTAAAGTTAATTTGTGGTAAATGGATATCTTTCCTATATATATATATATATATATATATATATAGTCAGGATCATTTTACACCAATCCGTTAATTACACTTATAGTTATATCCAAGGTCTCAAATTTTTTAGTAATATGAGTCATTGGATACAAGTAGATTAATGATCAAGATCGAGTTAAAGACTTCTAACTCTTGCACCTGTATAAGAATATCCTTCCCCGTTATATATATATATATATATATATATAGGATAATTTTATTATCAAATATTCTTATTACCAATCTACTATCACTTTTTAAACAATGGATCCCACTTTTCAGCAGGCAATCTCTAAAAAATTTCTGAAGAGAGAAAAAAAATAGCTTTTGATGTACTATCGATAATATATAATTATATTAGATTGATAGTAAATTAGTAATAGGAATATTTAGTAGTAAAAATATCCTATCTGATATATATATATATATATATATATATATATATATATATATATATATATATATATTGTTTGCAAATTCGAACTCGGAGGAGGGTTTCAATAGGCAAAATGAACCATTACTATTAGTATGGAAAAAGAACGTATTGTGTTTAAATTAAGGGAAATACTTTCTTTTATGTTGTAAGAAAATAATTATTTCATGATGTAAAATTAAAATTACGAATGAGATCCATAGGTAAGAGGAAAGAGAAAAAAAGAGTGGTGGGACTCATCCCTCTTTTATGTGTGTAAAAAAGCTATTTCTCTTATATAAAATGAGATAAATATAACCCTTAAATTAAACTATTTAATTAGTTAAAATTAATCCTATTTGTGCACTAACCTGTTGTGCCGAGCACCGGTTATGATTAAGAGGGATCGTTGAAGTTTGAATGATGAATATTCTTTGTGATGGCTGAGAGGCGTAGAAAATAATGGCTACTAATAAAATTTAAGGGTTCGTTTTTTTTTCAGTAATCAACGTAGATAAATTATTTATATTAAATTTAAAATAATGTTATTTGTATAAAAATTAAGGTATTTTTATAATTATAATTTATTTTAAGATTATAATAATTTTTTTATTATAATTTTTTAATTTTTTAACTCAAAATGATATAATTTTAAAAATATATATAAATAATTTATCTACATTATAAAAACATTAAAGCGAAAATTTAATCATAGTTTAAACGTTGAAAACCGAATGCGTGTGGCATAAGTTGCGTAAGATGCAAGCGAGAGCATCATGGCCAAGAGATTTTAATTGGCTTATAAAATAGGAGAGTTAGTCTTTTTTGTTAATAATGTTAAAAATATAATTAAAATAATAAACAAGTAATAATAATTTACATAACTGAAATAATGCATGATTAATAATAGAGTTTCATTTTTCTCATATTGTATAAAATAATTGTCTCTTACAAAAAAAATTATATACTATGGATAGTATATAATTATAATTGTAAAATTATTTTTTCTTTTTTGTCATATCAGCTAACAATGTTTAAGAAGAAAGAAAGAAAGAAAAATTAATATTATAATTATTTGTTATTCATAATATATAGTTATTTTTTTTCTAAGAAAAATTTTCTTTTTCAATAGCATTAGTATGATTTCGTTAATGATATACAACAAAATATTTGTGATTTTGTTTTACTATAAATGAGACCTTCGTTTACGCGTTAATGCGTCGTTTCATCCACTAAGCAATATTTAT